CTTGCTGAGAAACACAGGTGCTTCTGTGCCTGTGTCAGAAATCAACACCTGAGACTTTACCCTGAGTCCCACACCCACCTTACTGCAGATGTGGAAAAGTTTCTACATTCTTTTGCCTCTCTCGTCCACCTTTAAGAAAATATTAAAATACCCATTTATATTTTCCTAGATGTATGGCAAAATGAAATTAAGTCTGATGAAGAGAGCTTTTAGTTTCTCAGAAGAAACACAGAACTTCGTTCAGAACTTTCATGATGGTGAACCTATGGAACTTACTTTTCATCTTCAGCCTGCAGCCCGGGTAGTGGGCCACTTGACTCGTAAGAACTTTATTTTTGCTGTCTCTCTGTTTCTGTTCCTTCTCGTGACGTTTCCGATCTTCTGTAAACAAATTCAGAAGAAAAGGTCACATTAAGCAAATCACACTTCACACAAGACCAAATCAGTGTCTAGTTGTATCACAAAAATGAAAAATACTCTCAGTTTAAGAATGTGATATTCTGATGGAAATGTTCTACTGGTCCCTAGATTAAGTCACACTAGAAGTAGATGAGCCTGCTTTTCAGATCCATGGGACAAAATCTCCCTCATCTGCTAGATCTTAATCATGTATTCTCTGACCGAAGTCAGCACAAGCAATTAAAACCTCTTCCCAAAAATCTTCACACACTGCCATAACTACTTTCCAGAAGCATTGCAGCTATACTGATTTATCTCATCATATATGATGGTGAACGGATAGTTAGAGAAATTTACATAGGAGACTGGATTGACGGATGAATTCTAACAACCTTTACATAAGAAAGAATCTGTGGAGTCAGCAAAGTGACTCACACCTGGCATTGGAGAATTTAGGAGGCCCAGGAAGGGAGATCACTTGACCTCAGGAGTTGAAGACCAGCCTAGCCAACACGGTGAAACCCCGCCTCTACTAAAAATACAGAAACTAGCCAAGTGTGGTGGTATCCACCAGGGATCCCAGCTAAGTGGGAGGCTGAGTCACCAATACAATGGTACTCCGTGCTCTTGATGGTGTCACTTGCCAATACCACAGGTTCTATTAGGAGCAGGGTCCCCTTCAAGCTCCTCACAGTGGGTACTGTGTGCCATCACCATGTTTACCTCAGTGTCCTCAGAACACTGCTTTGCCTACTGGGCCTCAGCAGAAATGGGAACCGAATGGAAGTTCAGTAGCCTCAGACACTTAGACCAACAGACTAGATGCTACTTGTCTGTAGGATCTTAGGTGGTACAGAGAGGATTCCTGTAAACATGATTTAGCCTCTTGCTGAGAAACACAGGTGCTTCTGTGCCTGTGTCAGAAATCAACAGCCTCTTGCTGAGAAACGCACATGGTTGTGCACCTGTGTCAGAAATGAACAGCTGAGACTTTACCCTTAGTCCTACACCTGCCTTACTGCAGACGTGGAAAAGATGCTACATACTGTGGCCTCTCTCATCCATTTTTAACAAAATGTTAAGGAAGCCATTTATATTTGCCTAGAAGGATGGGAAAAATTTAATAAATTCTGATGAAGAGAGTGTTCAGATTCTCAGAGAAAAGACAGAATATCGTTCAGCACTTTCGTAACGGTGAATCTATAGAACTTACCTTCTGTCTTCAGCCGGCAGCCTGGGTAGTAGGCCGCTTGACTCATAAGAAGTTTATTTTTGCTGCCTCTGTATTTCTCTTCCTCTTCATGATCTTTTCGATCTGTAAATAAATTCAGAGGAGCAGATCACATTGAGCAAATCACACTTCACACAGACCAAATCAGTGTCCAGTCATAGCACAAGGACATAAAATATTCTCAGTGTAAGAATGTGATATTCTGACTGGAATGTTCTATCGGGCCCTAGATTAAGTCACCTCAGAAGTAGATGAGCCTGCTTTTCAGGCCCATGGGACAAAATCTCTCTTATCTTGTAGATATTAATCATTTGTCCTGTGACATAAGTCAGTGAAAACAATTAAAACCTTTTCCCCCAAAATCTTCAAAAATTGCCCTAACTACTTTCCAGAAGGGTTGCTGCAATATTAATTATCTCATCATATGTCATGGTGAATGAATAGTTAGAGAAATTTATATAGGAGACTGAATCAAGGGATGAATTCTAACAACTTTTACTGAAAAAAGAATCTGTGGAGCCAACATGGTGGCTCACGCCTGAAATCCCAGCACTTTAGGAGGGACAGGAGAGCAGATCCCTTGACCTCAGGAGTTCAAGACCAGCCTGGCCAACACAGTGAAACCCCACCTCTACTGAAAATACAAAAGTTAGTCAAATGTGGTGGTGCCCACCGGGGACCCCAGCTGATTGGCAGGCTGAGGCAATAGTACCACAGTACTCCCTGC